ATTTCGATTTTCGTAATTTTTGGATGTTGTTTGACTTAGTTATAAAAATCGAGACTTTAGATTTTAATGCCGTAATAATAAAATATTAGTTTGATTGAGATTTTAGCTGCGATTGTGAATTATAGATTTATTATAAATCACATAGAATATGTATATCAAATATCGGCCTTAATTGAGTTAGGATTTTCTGGAATCAAAACCCTAGTTTTATCCTGTTCCGATAACCGGGTATTTTTCCAGATCCGATTATAATTGATTGAACCCTAGTACCATCTGGGTAATTATTAATCGTCGTATCGTAATGCGTACCGTCGTCTCGTGCCCGTGACCGCCTTTCATTCGACCGTTGGAGCCGAACCGCCGAGTGCGTGCCCGTGCACCGAGTCCGAGTCAACTCCGAGTGCGTGCTCGTGCACCGAGTCCATCCGACTCGCCGTCTACGCGTCGTTCCGTTAGCCGTGGTCCAAGCACGCCCCTGCGTCAGTGACCGTGGCACCGATCAACTCGTGCATCGGCTAAGCCGCGTCAGTCGAGTTCGTGCCGGCCCGAGTCGCCATGCCGAACTCGGACCACGGTCAAACCGAACTGCACATAGTCAAGCGAATGACCGACCGACTCCGAGTGAGCCGTCGGTCCAGTTCAGTCGAATTGGTCCGGTCAGCCGGACTGTTCGATATATATTTCAGATAAAATGTCAGATAAATTTTCAGATGCTGTCAGATTAAGATTTCAGATAAAGTTAAGAATTTCAGATAGATTAAAGATTCTGATATAGTTCAGATTTCAGTCAGATTAGATTAAGTTAGATTCCTGTCCCAGACTTAGAAATATTCCAGAGAACTCTAGAATGCCTCAACGACGATAATATTTTCAAAATCAGCTCGTAATCCCAAAATGATTTTTAAAGCCGAGTGAGTGAACCTAGATACATAAGATATTAAAGATTTTAGTTTTATTCTGAGCCTAGTACTTAGAATATTTCGCTCAATATATTTTGTAGCTTGAGGAGAGTCGAGCCTCCATCAGCTACTCATTCAGATATATTCAGCATTCGCTTTTCGCCAGTTTCTAGGTGGGGACCACGTACTGTGTATTTCATCGCTTTTAATAATTTACCATGCCTGATATCTATATGCGATTAAATTGAAGGACTGAGACGGATGAGTGATCCCGTCTTGGTCAATATTTCAGTATTTCAGTTATGACTTGGATGTGTGTGATTAGGGCCCGTCCTAAGTCTAGCGTCCAGATGGGGTGATTAGTGCCTTTTCTGGATTTCTGTGGGAGGGGACACCCAGAGTGTGCACATGAGTACCGGTTTACCGTTAGTCCCATAGTCAGACCAGTTTATTCATATATATGTTGATTCCATAGTTTATTATTAATTGTGCTGAGTATTCAGTGCCGTTTCCGGCGAAGCACCGTTGATTCCTTTGTGCTCACGCCTCCCCACTACCCTATTTTTCAGGTGATGGAGTCCCGCGTGGAGCGTGAGCAGTTATGTGGTGTTGGTCCAGCTTCAGGACATTTTTGTGAAAACATGTCATATAGTATTTGAACGTGTTGAATTATCTATGTCCGTCTTATGTTTTGTGTGTGCTTTCCGAACTATTTCTGCTTCCGCATATTAGACCTGCGTTTCAGATGTCAGATTTCAGTCTAGTATTTCAGATTTCAGATTATGTAAGATTTTCAGAATATGCATGATTAATACGGTATTATTCATGGCCTTAATTCTAGAATGGATTTTACTTGGTCGCATGCATGTTAGATTAAAGAGATTAAAGATATAAGATTAAAGTTGAGTAGCACCCCGTGTTTTAAAGTTAAAGTATTTTCGAAAAATTAATATGAGTTTTCGAAAATTTAAGTAGTGCTTTCCAATTATAGCGAAAAAAAAAAATTTACTCTGATTTTAGTAAGTTTTAGGCGGGGTGTTACAGTTGGTATCAGAGCCACTTAGTGGTTCTGTATACTAAAATTTTAGTAAGATATGACCACACCACGCTCACGCCACGCCGACTCCGAGGTACGTCACCTGTACAGCTTTTATTTGCGAATGCATATTTAATTATATTCAGATTATTTCAAGGGCGTTAGATCTATCCTTTGATTAAGATTTGAGAATTCTAGTCAGAACTCTAGTAAGAACTTAGAGGATTTTAGTGTACCCGGAACTCTAGCCAAGCTAGGTGTTTTCGGAATCCGATAACTTATTAAAGTATAGTGTAGCTATTTATTAATCGGCTATACTGCTTCAGTTAGAATTTCAGCAGAGATAGTTAACTTTGAGAACTTCTTTTAACTTTCTTGAGTAATTAATTCTCCGTCAAATATTCAATACTTTCTGCTAATCCCTATCATTTGACCCTTCAGATGCCTCCTCGTCGAGCCCCGATTCCAGTACCGCCCCCGCCGGCTGCGCCAGTGCGGGATCAGGCCTTTTCAGTTTCTCAGTTCCGCGGATACCACCCTGCGACGTTCAATGGGCAGGGAGACCCGAGGCTTGTCGACGAGTGGCTGCGCAGCCTTGACATGATTTTTGAGGTAATAGACTGCCCCGAGCCTCACAGGATCATGTGCGCACAGCTACAGATGATAGGGGATGCAGGTCTCTGGTGGCATTCGTACTGGGAGATGTGACCCGGGGAGAAGCTGGCCCTCACTTGGGCTGGTCTGAAGGCGCTCCTCCGGGAGAAGTATTACCTGGCCCACTACAGAGAGAGGTTGGAGAGGCAGTTCTTAGCACTGGAGCAGGGTGCTAGGACTGTCGATGAGTATGAGAGAGACTTCACTCGCCTCGGCTTCTTCGTGCCGTACCTGATTGATACAATGGAGACGAGGGCGAGGCGCTTTAAGGGCGGTCTTCGCGGGGAGATTCGCCACCATCTCGCGGGCCTTGGCGCCCTGACTTATGCTTAGACCGTTTCTAGGGCTCAGCAGATTGATGAGAGTCTCCGACTGGAGGCCATTCGTACTCGCACTGCCACCCGCCAGCCAGCTCATCAGCCACCAGCACAGCAGCCTGTACTGCCGCCACCACAGCGGGCCCCACCACAGCTGGCTCCTCCCCAGCAGCCACAGCGTCCGAAAAAGAGGAGGGGGAGGGACCGGCAGGGTAGGAGGGTCCGACAGAGGGATCAGGCCCCAGCTTAGGCCGTACAGCCAGTTCAGCAGATTGCCCCAGTTTGCGCTACCTGTGGACGCCACCATACCGGTGAGTGTCTTGTGGGACGAGGCATCTGTTTCCACTGCCACAGACCCAGACATTTGAGGGGAGATTGCCCAGACAGAGCTTAGCGTCAGCAGGGTCAGCGTCAGCTGGCCCCGAACCAGCCACGTGGAGCACCAGCACGCGTCTACGCACTTGACCAGGCACAGGCCGCCGAGCAGCCAGGTACCATGTCCGGGATGATTTCCTTATGTGATGTGCCTATCTTTGCGTTGTTCGACACCGAGGCGACACATTCGTTCGTCTCGGCCATGTGTCTAGAGGCCATAGGGGTCCGAGGAGTGAGTGCTGTCGACCCCCTCGAGATCAGCCTAGCTTCGGGGAGGAAGATAGTTACGAGCTCCTTGGCCGAGGATCTTAGTATGAGTATTGGTGGCAGAACTTTAGAGGTGGATGCGTTCGTGATCGAGATGAGGGACTTTGACCTCATTCTCGGCATGGATTGGTTGGAGAGATATCAGGCAGACATTCGATGTCGTGATAGAGAGGTGACACTACACTTAGCCGAGGGAGATCGTATCACGTTCTTCGGGACGAAGACGAGGACCCTACCCCGAGTCATTTTGATGGCGAAAGCGACTAAGTGTTTGCAGAGAGGGAATTGCCAGGGATACCTGGTGAGCATAGTTGGGGAATCTTCGGAGGAGCGGATGCCCGGAGATGTACCCATTGTGCGTGATTTCGTGGACGTCTTCCCAGATCAGCTACCGGGAGGACCACCTAGTCGTCAGGTGGAGTTCACGATCGACCTGGTGCCTGGAGCCGGCCCAGTGTCGAAAGCGCCGTATCGTATGGCGCCGAAGGAGTTTCAGGAGCTGAAGGCTCAGATCCAAGAGCTATTGAGTCTCGGTTTCATTCGACCGAGCGTCTCTCCGTGGGGAGCACCTGTCCTTTTCGTGCAGAAGAAGGATGAGACTTTGCGTATGTGCATCGATTACCGGGACTTGAACCGGTTGACGGTGAAGAACAAGTATCCACTCCCCAGGATCGAGGATTTGTTTGACCAACTGAGGGGCGCCCGTGTATTTTCTCGGATTGATCTACGATCGGGCTACCACCAGCTGAAGATCAAGGACTCTGACGTGGCTAAGACCGCGTTTCGTACTCGATACGGTCACTATGAGTTTGTCATGATGCCGTTCGGCTTGACCAATGCGCTGGCGGTGTTCATGGATCTCATGAACCGTGTATTCCACCCATTCTTGGACCAGTTTGTCATCGTCTTCATAGATGACATTTTGGTCTACTCGAGGAGCATAGCCCAGCACGAGGAGCATTGGAGGATCGTGTTGGAGACTCTTAGGCGGGAGAAACTGTACGCCAAGTTCTCGAAGTGCGAGTTTTGGCTCGATCGAGTGGCATTCCTTGATCACATCGTTACAGCCGAGGGCATTAAGGTCGATCCCGGGAAGATCGAGGCAGTGAGGAACTGGTCAGCACCGAGGTCTGTTACCGAGATCGGAGTTTTCTCGGGTTAGCAGGCTACTACAGGAGGTTCATCGAGGGGTTTTCGAAGATAGCCCTACCCTTGACACGTTTGACGAGGAAAGGGACGAAGTTTGAGTGGAGTCGTCGCTGTGAGTCGAGCTTTCAGGAGCTCAAGGAGAGGTTGACTACAGCGCCCGTGCTGACTATACCGGACCCTACACGGAGTTTCACTATCTATAGTGATGCTTCGAAGCAGGGACTTGGGTGCGCGCTGATACAGGAGGGCAAGGTTGTCGCATACGCTTCGCGACAGCTGAAGCCCCACGAGGAGAACTACCCGACTCACGACCTTGAGTTGGCAGCCGTTGTTTACGCACTCAAGATATGGAGGCACTATTTGTATGGTGGTCGGTGTGAGATCTACACCGATCACAAGAGTCTGCAGTATATCTTCACACAGAAGGAGCTCAACATACGCCAGAGGCGATGGTTGGAGCTAGTGAAAGATTATGATTGCACCATTCAGTACCATCCGGGGAAGGCGAACGTAGTAGCCGATGCCCTTAGCAGAAAGGCGAGGGGCGAGTTGACTTGCATGATCACCCAGCAGGGTCAGCTCCTTCGAGAGTTCGCTCGGGTGCAGTTAGACGTCGTCGAGTCACTTCCTACGATGCCTGTAGTAGGAGGTGTTCGGTCGATGAGAGTGTGGCCCATGCTCCGAGATCGAGTTTGGAGAGATCAGTCCGTTGATGAGTTCGTCCGTTCCATGAGGGCGAAGGTTGTTGCCGAGGGCGTGGAGGGGTTTTACCGAGGCGCGGATGGTGCCTTGGAGTATAAGAGAAGGCTCGTTGTGCCGAATGTCGAGGCCCTGAGGAAGGAGATCTTGACCGAGGCTCACAGTGCACCCTATTTGGCGCACCCCGGCAGCACAAAGATGTACCACGACCTGAAAGGGTCGTTTTGGTGGAGGGGCATGAAGGGAGATGTTGCTGAGTTTGTGAAGAAGTG